GCTGTGTCCAGGGCCCCTAGCCCATGACCTCACTGGGCCCCGGGACTTCACCCCCCAGCAGGCTCTTGGGCCAGAGAGCCATGTGCTGGAGCAGCACCGTCAGGTCAGCTGGGCAAAGGAAAGGGTGGAGGCTGCGGGGCTCCCGGGCAGGGCCGAGGCCTGGGAGGAGGAGAGCCTGTGGGGAGAGGGCTCCAGCTCGGCGTGCCCAGTGGAGTGGGTCCAGATGCCGCCAATGTCCTGCTGGGGGGCCTTGGGGTCTGGATACTGTGTATGCGCCCCACCCAAGTCCCTGGGTCTGTGGTCTGTGCTGGGGACGGAGGGAGCTAGGTGGCGTTCTGATTCCGTACGGAAGGGCTGTGCTCTGGACCTGCCCAGGAGCAGGGAACCTCCCAGGCTTCCAGACCTGCTGGCTGGCGGCTGTCCTCGTGCAACTCAGGCTGGCCATCTTCCCCAGCCCCAGTGGGGCCACTCTCCTGGCTTGTCACTGGGCTTTTTTTATTTTTTATTTCTCTGCCCTGCATCTTTGCACTGAGCTACATTTCTAGCCCTTTTTATTTTGAGAAAAGGTCTTACCAAGTCGTTAAGTTGCCCACGATGGGCTTAAACTTGAGATGCTCTTGCCTCAGCCTTCCAGAGTGGTGGAAGTACAGGTATGCACCACCATGTCCAGTGTCACTGGGCCTTACTAGGAGATTTTAGTTTTAATTCTCACAGAGAACAGTTCTGGGAAGAGGAAGGATGGGAGGAAACAGAGGGGAGGATGTGAGGGGCAGCTGCAAGGCCCTGTGGGGGCACCTGGCTGGCTCATCCACAGCAGCCTACCACTGTGTGCCAGGAGGGAAGTGGTGGGCCAGGCGGGGGCAGGGTGACAGGTACGTCACCAGATACTTGATGTCTGGCTTGGGGAGGCTCAGCTTCTCAGCTTGTGGGGACCTCAGCAGCACGTGGGGATGGCTGGTTGGTTGTTTGGGGTGCTGAACTGGGGGGTCCTGAAGGGCACAGAGCCAGGCTGTGGGGAGCACCAGGGTGCCAGGTCCTGCGTCCACCCTCCCAGGGCTCTTGTCTGAAACATAGGTGAAGCCCAGATCTCACCAGGCCTGAGGTCCAGAGAGAGGTTCTGGGGACCACGCAAGCAGTCCTGTCACCTGTGGAGCTCAGGCAGTGAGTGTGTGGGTGCATGTGTGTGTGTGTGTATGAGGGCATGAATTCACATCCCTGCCTGTGCGCTCTCGTGTACACTGGTACGAGTCTGAGCGAATGAATGTAAGTGCAAGTTGATGTGTGGACGTGAGAACTCAGAGCGTGTGAACAAGTATCCATGTGTGAATGTGTGAGGAGTGCGGATGAGGCGGTGTGTCTGAGCATGGGGGTACATGAGCATTCGCGAGTGACCTCGGAGCCTGAGCTGTGCACACAGCCCCAGCCCCGACCCTGGGGCCTGAGTCCCTGACACTGGCCACCCGGGAGCTGGCCCCCACCACAGCCCGGGCCAAGCCTGCAGGGGTCAGAGGGGTGTGGAGCCTGCCTGCCTCTTCACACCAGCATGTGCATGCGAGTCCTGCTCTTTCCTGTGGGTATCGTGGGTGCACCTTGTGGTGAGGACCACAGATCCTTCCAGGCTCAGGGGCCCTAGTGGCCAAAGCCACAGAACCCGCAGGTAGTGGGTGGGACCCATGAGGCTGTGTCTGGGAGCCAGGGTCACCTAAGCCAACAGCATACACTCTGAGAGATGGTGAGGGGAATGGACACGGGGGTCCCAGGCATGCTGCCTCCCCAGTGGCATGCACACAAACACACACAACTGTCAAGTGACACACACGCGTCACTTGTATCTTGAAATGGCTCATGGAACCCTGTAGTAACCCCAGCCTCAGACCCCGACACTGGTCCTGTCCAGGCTGCAGCCCCCCAGCTGCAGGAAAGGGCCACGCTGCACAGCGAGTCAGGCAGGGAGTCCTGACCTTGCACCCCTGACTTGCTGGAGTGCTTAGCCCCCCACCCAAGGTGTTTGAACTCTCAGGAGTGGACTCTGTGAGGCCGTCTGTCGCAGGAGCAGGACTAGGTCTCCACTGTGCCCTGCCAGTCTCCTCCTGCCGTGGATGAGTGTGACCCAGCAAGCTAGTGGGGAGAACTTCAGGGGTCTCCAGGATGAATGGGTGGAACTGAGCCACCAGGTCCCAGTGCCGGGTGCCCTGGCCCTGTGGGGAGACAGCAGGGGGGCTGGCAGTCAGCACTCCGAGGCTCCCACGGCCTTCCCAGCAGCACCTGCACAGCTGGCATCTGAGAGCTGCGTGCACGTCCCCAAGTTGCATGGTCATCATGGCCGGGGCTGCCCTCAACTCTGTACCTCTTCCTCTTTCCACTTCAGCCTGGCCTGGCACTGGGCTCTGGGCAGGCCCCGGTCTGACTCACCCTCTACTGTGGGACACCAGGCGGGGCTCCCCCAGATGCCCATCCCCAGGACAGGGCTGTGACATCTGGCGCTCCATTGGAGGGACATTCCCAGGGGAGGAAGTCCTGACCCCCCCCCCCCCGGGGTGAGGCAGCGCTCCCTGAGCATCTTCCTCTTCCCACAGAGGGTGGCGGGTCGCATGGTACATGCATGCAGGGACCCAGGACTCTGAAGCTATGGGGACCACCTGGGAGAGGGGCTGCCTGAGCGGATGCTGAGCCAGCCTGCACTGGGTCTCAGATTCTCGGCCTTGTCCCACACATGTGTGAGTTCTAAGAATTTTTTAGTGGATTCTGTGGAATTTTCTCTGCATAAAATCATCTAAGCTGGGTATAGGTATACACACTCTGGGAGGCTGAGGCAGGGTAATTACTAGTTCAAGTCCAACCTGGGCAATTGATTTTAATGAAACCTGTCTCAAAATAAAAATCACAAAAGGTCTGTAGACATAGCTCAGTGCAGAGACCCTGGGTTCAGTAACCAGTACTGCAAACAAAAACAAAAAAGCAGATCTGCGAATATTCCCTTTCCTTATTCCATCCTTTCTTCCTTTCTAGGCCAGGTACTTTCCTTTTCCCACCTGAGTATGTGACCTGTGCCTCCAGTGTGGGGCTGAGGGGCCAGGTGAGCTGGAATGGTCACAGGCACCCCTCTTGGGTAGGGAAGCTCTCTTCTGGGTGTCATGTGCTACTCTTGGGAAAGATCATGGGAACTGGTCAGATGCCTTCTCTGCGCCTCTTGGGAGGTTGATGTAGGTCTTGTTTGTATTTTATCAATGCAATGAATGACATTAGTTGAATTTGAATATTAAATCGACCTTGAGTTGCTGGGGTTAATCCCGGGGATAAGGATGGAGGTGGAGAAAGGACATGGAGAACCCTTCCTCTGTGCTGCTGGATTCAGGGCTGGACTTCTGCTGAGGAGAGTTGTCTATCTCCACCAAAGAGTTTTTTTAAATTTTGCTTTTATTGGTACATGTGCGCAGCTCAGTGCCACCTCACTGGGGGCATTAGAACAGGTGCACAGCATTAGGGGACACTGAGGGGCGAGCTCATGGGACAGGTGTATTTCAGAACAAACCTGCAGAGGACCGCCCGACCCTGGGACAAGACGGACGCCCTGGTACAGGCCGAGGGGGCTTTGCAGGGCCCAAGCACAAGGGTGCTGTGAGAGAGGCAAGGGTCAAGGTGTGGCTTGCGGGGGAGAGTGCAGTGAGAAAGGGTTGTGGCTCCACCAGGGACCGGGCTTGAGACAGGACCGCGAGAGGTGGCTGTCAGGAGCCAGGCTGAAGGGTGGCAGAAGTCTCAGTGGAAGCGTGGTCACCAAGCCTTGTTGACTGGGGGATAACTGTCCTCAGCATGGCGTAAACAGCCTGCAGTGAGCCTAGGATGCGGTGGCCACACTCCTGCACATGCATTCATTCTTACGTCCGTTTTGCCCTCCTCACTCCCTGCGCTGTCTCACGGTCTCCTTGCTATTCCAGAAAGACCTATCTCCCTACCTCCCGTTGCCTACCTCCTGTTTTGCTCTTCACTTATTCTTTGGGCTTCTCATCCAGGAGAAACCTTGCGGTATTAGCGCCCGCAACGTTGTGGCCTCAAGCTGCACCCACTTTCCTACAGACAGCAGGGTAAACACCACGCTTTCTTTGCCCGTTCACCCTCCAGTGCACACAGGCCACTTCCACGATGTAACTGTTGTGAGTGGTGCTGCTATACATGTGGGTGTGCACGGGTCACTAAGGTAAGAAATGTGGTTCCAGTGTTTTCCTGTCTTGCACTGTCTTCCTGGTGTGGGGTGGGGTGGTGCTGGTCTTCTGCTTACTGGAAGACTTTGTGGGGGCTACAGTTGCAATGGGGTGCTGCAAACAGTGGATGGGGGGCAGATTCTTGTGGGGCCTGGGTGACAGCTGGGCCATGAGGAGTCCAGGGGCTGAGGGAAGATGGCTGGGTGGGAGAGGCTGGGAGGGTGGAGGAGCCATTCCCTGGGGACCACGTAGGAGACAGGCAGGATAGCTGAGGGGGGAGGCCTGGAGAGAGATGCCCGGCGGTGAGGGAGAGGGCAGGGGACCTGTGGTTTGAGTCTGGGATGGGGAGACTGCTGCACACGCGCAGGCAGGGCAGGGCAGGAGGCCCCAGTGTGAACGGTGGGAGCCTTGGGGCAAGAGAGGGAGGAGGCAGGAGGCTGGGAGCTGACTGGGGACGCATGTGCCCAGGCCCTGACTCTTTGGGGGACTGGGGTGACACTGGCAAGGTGGCACATACCCAGGGTACTGCCAGTTTACAGGGTGATTTTGAGTCTGGGGAGGGCGGGGCGGTAGAGCCGGGTCATCCCGGCTTCTGGAAGGATCACAGGTTTTGGGGTGTCCTTGGGATGCCTCAACAGCATCCGTGCTTCCTTGGCTCGGAGCTACTCTCCTAGACGTGGGCTTCCCATCTTCCAAAAGGCTTGAAGGAACCGAGGCCCGAGGGGCGGCACCGGCTGACGTGGTGGGCGGGTCCCTCACCTGCCCAAGGGCGGAGCCGGCCCAGGGTCCCGGGAAAGCGGTATGGCGGGCGCGGGGTCCCGGCCGCGGAGCTGGGCCTGCCGGGAGGGCGCTGAGGTGGCCGCCGGGGGCCAGGAACCCACACCGTGTCGCTGTTCGAGGGGGACGAGGGCGCTCGCCGCTCCCCGGAAGCCGGCGCCTGCCACATGGACGCCGTGAGTGTGGAGACTGACCCAGGGTGCAGGAGGGGGACCCCGGCTTTGGCCCCTGGGTGGCCAGCCTGCTTCACCAAACCAGATCCCAGAGCCCACGCCCCCGAGCCCCGGGGTCAGCTCCGAGCCGCAGGATCGTTACCCGGGACCCAGAGTCACGGCCCCCAGGCGGGCTGTGGGAACAAAGGCGGGCGTGGGCCCTGGGTCTGGGGGCTGTGCGCCAGGCAGGGCTGCGTCGCGGGCGCAGACCCCGAGGACGCTAGACAGGGTCCCCCTGCCCGGGCTGGCGGGGCACGGGAAGTGGCTGGTGTCGGAGCCCCTGCCCCTCCGGTGTTCCTCTCTAAGGCGGGCTTTGTGTGCGGAGGGATCTGGCGGAGGACGTCCCTGGCGCAGCCTGCGATCGGGCGTTGTAGAGAGACTCTTCCTTGTCCCGGGCTGGAGCTGGATCTGCCAGAACCTTGGGCGCTTGGGCCTTCGGGTCCGCCCCGCTGCTCCGCCTCAGAGACGCTGGCTGCAGGCTGGCCCACTCCTGGGCCAGGACACAGCACAGTAGGGAAGACCCCAGATGTGACTGGAAGTGCAGGCGCCTCACAGCAGCGGGGACGCGGAGACTCAGGGACTCTGCATGCTGGCCGGTGTAGGACTGAGGCAAAAGCTACCACCTCTGGGCAGCCCACCTGGCTTCCTGTCTGGGGCAGGCCACCTTGAGGGACCATCTGACATTAGGCCTGATTCACCCACATGGGGGCTTCATTGTTACTGTACCCCAGTGCTCCATGGGCCGTTCGTGTGTGCCGTGGACGAGTGGTGATAAAGTGACAAAGCTGCAGCACCGGGATCAGTCCAAGGGAGCCAGGCCCGTCTGCCAGGCCAGTGGCCCTGTCCCTGTGGGTCTCCAGAAAGTGTTCCCTCCTCTCAATGCTGTGACAGGCTGGAGCATGGCAGTGCCCTGGATGTCCCAGCCTGCTGAGCCTGCTCTTGCTCCCACTGCAGCTTCATGGCAGCTGAGGAGATGCACTGGCCAGTCCCCATGAAGGCCATCGGTGCCCAGAACCTGCTGACCATGCCTGGGGGTGTGGCCAAGGCTGGCTACCTGCACAAGAAGGGGGGCACCCAGTTGCAGCTGCTCAAATGTGAGTCCCAGGTCACAGGTACCACCAGGGGTGGGCAGGGGACCCAAACCCAGGTCCCATTGTGCTGCAGCTCCTTGGGCAGGGGCACATCTCTGCTTCCTCCTGTGGTGGCCCTCAGTTTCCCTTTCTTCTCTGGAGGGTGGTGCCTCGGGTGTGGCAGGGCCCAGGGTGGTGCAGCTGGACCTGGGACAGAATGATGTTAGTGCTCATACTGGGTGGTCACCCAGCACATGGGGAGATCATGTGCCAAGCCAGGAGTCCACTGGGTGTGGGGACAGCAGGTCAGAGGAGAGGGTGCCTGAGGCACAGCACCAGGCCTTGTCCACCTTTGTGGTGGCCACAGGTGTGCCGCCCAGGACGCCCTAGCCCTGCACAGTGGGGGTGCCCAGGTTGCCCAGCATTTGTGTGGGCACTGATTACACAGGGAGCCTTCAGGGAGGGCTGCTCAGGTCTGAGCTTCATGTTTGGTGTGACTGCCTGGCTGGGTGGTGTTGGGGCTGATGGCACTGGCTCAGCAGCCTGGGAGGAAAGAGCCTGTAACCTTTCAGCACAGGGCCAGGCCTGCCTCGGCCCTCCTTGGCCTTCCTCACAGGGACCCAAGAGCTCGTTTCCCCAGAGTGGCCAGCGTGCCAGTCAGGTCCTTGGCTCAGCCGACCACCCACCATCCCCAGGGCCACTGCGCTTCGTAATCATCCACAAGCGCTGCGTCTACTACTTCAAGAGCAGCACATCCGCCTCCCCACAGGGCGCCTTCTCGCTCAATGGCTATAACCGGTGAGTGGCCCTCAGCCCAGGTGGCTGTGCCCACCCTGCCTACCCGAGGGTTGTCTTGGCTTTTCTGATGCCCCTGTTCACTGAGCCTCTGTGATGGCCTCAGTTTCTGCCCCATGCCAGGTCTCGCTTACCTGTGGTCCAACTTGTGCATCTCTCCTCCTCCTCCCCACCACAGCCACTCTGCAAGGACTCTGAACCAGCCTAGGCCTTGCCCAGTCTCCCCACTCCAGGTCCTCCTTGCCCACGGGCCAGGGCTGGCACTATCTATTGAGCAGCCCTCAAGGGCTTCCAGGCCAAGGGGCTGGCCAGGCCAGAGCCCCGTGCACTGAGGACCTGTGGAGCAGGGTTCAGTGCTGGTGCTGAGCCCTGCGCCCTCCCCATCCACGGAGGGCCGAGCCCCTCCTACCTGTGAGGCCAGTAGCGACAGCATCAGGACAGGCCTGGCCTGGGTGCTCATTCTGTCAGTTGCCACTCCAGGCTCTGGTGTCCACACTGGCCACCAGTAGAGGGCGCCATGCCAAGAAGCCAGCCCTGTGCAGGCCTCTGGTCCTTCTCTGGGCTCTGGCAAAGGCAGGGAAGGGGCTTGAGGGCATTGTGGACAATAGATGGGCTTCCCTAATGGTAGCTCTGGGGCTCCCTGTGGAGTCACTCCCATGCCCCAGATACCCAGCCTCAGGCCTGTACAAGCTCACATGAACTCGGCCCAGCAGCAGCAGCAGCAGTGGCGGCAGGGACCATCCAGATCAGCCCCCATCCCTCCCACTGCAATGCTAGGGATGGTCTGTGAGGCTGCCCCTCACAGTAGGAACCCGAAGGTGACCCTTGTGCCCTCAGGGTGATGCGGGCAGCTGAGGAGACCACGTCCAACAACGTCTTCCCCTTCAAGATCATCCACATCAGCAAGAAGCACCGCACGTGGTTTTTCTCTGCCTCCTCAGAGGACGAGCGCAAGGTGAGCCAGAGCCGGGTAGGACAGCCTCAGGCACCTGCAGCCACTCGGACGCTGCCAGGGAAAGGCCTGTGGATGAGAAGTGGGCGTGGCCCAGGGGGTCAGGCTGTGCCAGAGCCACACAGCCTTGCTGGTCCCAGACGGCTGGCCCCTGACCTGGGTGGAACTGTGGGATGGGAAGGGAGGAGAGTGGAGGAGGTCCTGCCCTGACAGCACTGTGCCTGCTTCGTCCCGCGTGTGTCCGCTGCACCCTGGCTGACCACAGAGTTGGATGGCCTTGCTGCGCCGGGAGATCGGCCACTTCCATGAGAAGAAGGAGCTGCCTCTGGACACCAGGTAGGCTGGGGTGTGACTGGCTGGTGGTACTTCCTGCGGTCTGGTGCCCAGTGCGTGTCTCTCCAGCTCTGGGGACATGGCCCAGAATCCCTGGTGAAGGACTTTTCTGGGGTGCCAGGCAGGTTCCTTGCCTATGGGAGTGTGTGCTGTGTGTGGAGCCCATGTGTGTTTGTGAGCCCTGCCTGTGTAAGCTGTGCGGGGGTCAGCTCATTCAAGTGTGTGAACCCACGTGAGCGTGCCTGCCCTCCGCTCCTGCCCTGCCTGTCCCCGTCCCCGTGCTGCCCTTTGGGGGCTCCCACATGGAGGTCAGCTTGTTCAAGTGTGTGAGCCCACGTGAGCGTGCCTGCCCTCCACTCCCGCCCTGCCTGTCCCCGTCCCCATGCTGCCCTTTGGGGGCTCCCATGTGGAGGTCACATGTATTTCTGAACCCCCAACGGAGAGCCCCCTTGTGAGCAGTCCAGGGCTTTGGGGTCCTCACTGCACAGCTCAGCTGAGGCCTCGGCAGCCTCACCCGTGAGATGCCCCGAGAGAGCCTCAGGAGTGGTGGGGGGTAGTGAACTGTCCCCCTTTCGCAGTCAGGAAACAGGCACACTCACCTCGCTCCAGGCTTGTGGCCTGGGGCAGCTCTGAGTCACCTGAGACATCTGGGCAGTGGCAGGGCGACGCGTGGGCGCAGTCCTGAGGTCTCTGGCCAGGTGGGGCACCCCTGGCATGTGGCCCCCAGAGCCTGGACTACACGTGAGTCCAGGCCCATCTGTTGCTGCATGTGCACGTGAAGCTGTGTGCCCGTCTGCGCGTGCCTGTGAGTGGAGTGCATGTCTGTGGGACGGTCCTGTGTCGAGTGCCGAGGCCCTGAGTCACTGCTGGCCCTTCTCCTCCCTGTGTGTCAGTGACTCCAGCTCGGACACAGACAGCTTCTACGGTGCAGTGGAGCGGCCCGTGGACATCAGCCTCTCCCAATATCCCACAGACAACGAAGGTGAGGCTGGCGCCTGCTCTGCTGCCACCTGAACAGCGTGCGTAGCTGCATCCACTCTGTCTCCAGGCAGAGGGACAGTGCCTCCCCACTGACCTCCATAGCCGGTTCCTGTGGCCTAACCTCACCCCACCCCCAGCCCTGCCCCTGCCCCCCGATTGGGCCTCAGCTTCCTCCCTCTTCCCAGATTATGAGCATGAGGATGATGATGAGTCGTACCTGGAGCCTGACTCCCCGGAGCCTGTGAAGCTGGACGGTAGGCGGGGCAGGGCCCCGGGGTCTCCAGGTGGGTGGGAGGTGTGGGGCCTGGTCTCCTTGCTAGGACCCACATATTAAGAGGTTCGGAGCTGGTGTGGTGCCTGCTGTAATGCCAGCGCTCTGGGAGGCTGAGACATGGGGTTGCACACTCAAGCCTAGTCTGGGTGATCCGCAACTCAGCAAGACCCTATCTCAGATTAAAAATATAAAGGGCTGGGAATGTGGTTCAGTGTGAGGACTGTGGGGGTCGACCTCAAGTACCACCAAAAAAGCAAAAACTAAAATAGATAAAAAATAACAATGAATGTTCAGAGCCTCTGCTACCTCATGGCTGCCACCCACAGCTCAGGCAGTCACCCGCGGGTGACGGGTGGTGCCAGGCACGTCTGTCCTATGTCCTGCCCCTCACTCTGCTCCTCTAGTGACCTCTGTTCCCTCCATGTCTCGCTCCTCACTGGGGCCTGGCCCCGAGGTGCTCCAGCCCTGGGCTCTCCACCCGCTGCCCTTGCCTGTGTCCCGGCTGCTCACTGCCCACCCAGTCCTCGCAGGCTGCAGGTCTGTTCCCTCGGGCTGTCCCTGAGCTCCTGCTGGTCCTGGCCTGGACCTTGCCCCTCCTCTTCCTTTCTCCCTTCTCCCCCTCACCTTGGACTTGCGCCTACACGTCCCTGCAATGTCGCCTGGACGTCTCACAGCAATTTTAGCTTATTATGAAGAGACCCTGGCCATCCTCTTCCCCCTGCAAGCTCCTGGCTGGCCCTTGACTCTCCTCTACCCTGGCTTAGCCACCCCTGGAGCCAGGTGGCCGCCACCAGGCACCTGGGTTTTAGGGAACTGAAGGGGCTGCAGGGCCAGGTGGTAGGCTGCGGGGTGGGGCTGGGCTCAGGTGAGCAGGCCGCGGCCTTCTGTTCCCACAGAGGTGGTGATACCGCCCTGTGCCCTGTGCTCCACAGACCCCCTGACTCACCCTCCGGCCTACCCGCCGCCCCCCGTGCCCTCGGCCCGGAAGCCTGCCTTCTCTGACCTGCCTCGAGCTCACTCCTTCAATTCTAAGGGCTCAGGCCCACTGCTGCCGCCCCCACCCCCAAAGCGTAGCCTCCCCGACACCAGTGCAGCCATCGAGGATGCCAAGAGGGACCCACTGGGCCCAAGGTGGGCCGAGTCTGGCCTCAGGGTGCCCACCACCTCCCGGAGGATGAGTGACCCCCCACTCAGCAGCCTGCCTGCTGGGCCCAGCCCGTGGAAACCCCCGTGCTTCCGAGAGGGCACCAGCCCCAGCCCAGAGCCCTGGACACTTGGCCATGGGGCCAGCACTACCTCCAGCTGTGCCAGCACAGCTGCTGCCACCTCCAGGAACTGTGACAAGCTCAAGTCCTTCCACCTATCCCCTCGGGGGCTGCCTACCTCTGAGGCCCCGCCTGTGCCAGCCAACAAGCCCAAGTTCCCAAAGATAGCTGAAGAGGGGCCCCCGCGGGAGGCAGCCCAGCCTGGCCTTTTTCTGTCCCCTGTGGCCGCCAGGCCCCCCGCACTGAAGCTGCCCTTCCCGGACACCACTTCTCGGCCTGCAGTGCTGCCCCGGCCAGAGAAACCACGGCTGCCCCATCTCCAGTGAGTCTGCATGCGGTGGTTCCCGCCTCCCCACCCAGCGACCCCACAGGCCTGCTTTTGGGCCTGTGGCCAGCTGCCCACACTGGCATCTGAGCCCCAAAATAGTGGGAGGAGTCTCTGGTGATCCCAGCCTGCCTCAGGGGCATGGGGATGCCCAGGGTTGCCCTGTGGCATGTCTGTCTGGCCTAGAGGACCGTGGAACAGGGACAGGGTCACAGTGGCCTCAGAGATGCCAGCCTCCTGGAACCCATGAGGGGCAAGCAGAGGGGACAGCCTCAGCTGTGTCTGCAGGCCCTGCCCAGGGCCACGTCTCAGCTTCGAGCCCTGAAGGTGCCTTTGTGTCCTTCCCCGGAGCAAGTGGCTGGAATGTGGTGTGAAGCGGTGACTCAGCCCAGGCCATCTGGGCTTCCCGCTCTACTGCAGGCTGATGCCCGGGACCCAGGATGTCCTCCATTCCCTTGGTCACTCCTACCAGGGTTCCTCCAACATTTCTGAGCCCCTGCCACTGCTGGAAAGAGCCAGGAGCTGCCGTGTCACACATGTCCTTCACAAGGTGGCTCTGCTATCATTTTGCCAGTCCTGGCTCTGGCAGATGCCAAGGGACATCATCAGGCGCCGCCTCCCCCATGGGCAGTAGTCCTGATGGAGAAGAGCACCCTACCCTGGGAGGGTGCAGGGTCCTACTGCGGTGCCCCTTGGAGCTGGGTTGCATCCTGTGCCAACTTCTGTCTGCTCCCTGTGGCTGAGAGGTGTCTGTCGTCCCACAGATGGTGACGCCTGAGTTCCAGTGCTCAGGACCCTTGCCAGCATCCCTGGCAGTCCCCTGCTTGGGTTCCCAAGCCTGCTCCCCTCTGGGTCAGTGGGCACCAGGCTCAAGGCTCCATTGCCCTGCGGATGCCTGGATTCTTGTGCCCAGCCTACGGTAGCCACGTGCATAAGGAGCGAGAGTGGCCTGTCCGCCCGGCCAAGGGAGACGTAGTCCTGCCTTCTCCTTTGCCCCTAGGCGGTCGCCACCTGACGGGCAGAGTTTCAGGAGCTTCTCCTTTGAAAAGCCCCGGAACCCCTCACAGGCCGACTCCAGCAAGGAGGACTCGGATGAGGATTATGAGAAGGCAAGGCTGGCAGGAGCTGGGCAGGAGGGGCTGCAGGACAGCTGGGCTGTGCAGGGTGGCAGCACTGGGGGGGTGGGAGCTGGGCACCAGCGCTGACCTCACGGCGACCTTTCAGGTACCGCTGCCCAACTCGGTCTTCATCAACACCACGGAATCCTGTGAAGTGGAGAGGTCAGTATACAGCCACCTGGCGCCCGAGGGGCTCGGGGGATAAGCTCCTGCCTCTCTGGCCCCCGGCGTGCTGGTGGGCAGTTGCCGGCTGGGCACACAGCCCAGGGTGCAGCCGGGTAGGCCGACTACCCTCTCCCCATTCTTTCGGGGGGGGGGTGCAGGAGGCCTGGGGTGGTGGGTCCAGTACCCTGGAGTGTCCAGCAGGTTCACATCCACTTGGCTGTTTGGTTTCAGGCTGTTCAAAGCCACCAGCCCCCAGGGAGAGCCCCAGGACGGGCTGTATGGCATCCGGAACTCCTCCACCAAGTCGGGCAAGGTAGGGGCCGGGCTGTGCACACAGCTGAGGCATGGTGGAGGTGGGCTCTGCAGTCTGTGGCTCTCTGCTCTCTGTGCGGCCTCCTCAGCATGTAGCTGGGCTGCCTGTGAGCCCCTGGCCTTCAGCAGCCTCCCTCTCCTTAGGAGTAAAAGGCTTCCTGTACATGGGGAGCCCTCAGTGTGTCGGGGGCTGGGTGCCAGGACTCAGTGACAGGCAGGGCTGGGGGTCCTCAGAGGTCAGGTGGGCCAGCACCGCCCAGGTCCCTGCAGGTGTGACCTTGCCAAGCGGTGCCCTCCGGTGTCAGAGGTGGCTCTGGGCACCTGCCACTCAGGGCACACTTGCTCACAGCAGGGCCTGCAGCCCCCCTCACTTTGCCCAAGATCCCACCACGCAGTCTGGTGTACCTGGACCCAGGGCCCCCAAGCTAGGCCCTGCAGCCTCTCGGCTTTGCCTTCTGCTTCAGGCTTCCTTCCTTGTAGGTGTTAGTCGTGTGGGACGAGTCCTCCAACAAACTGAGGAACTACCGCATCTTTGAGAAGGTGAGGGACCAGGCTCTGCTGGGGGTGACCTAGGACTGGGACATGGGCTCAAGAGGGCCTGGGTGTGGCTCCCCACTGGGGTGCATTAGGCAGCCCGGATCCCATCCCCTCCCCTCTTGCCTGTGCCCAGGGCTCCCCAGTGGGGCTGGTGATCAGACCTACACCCTGGCTTTATTTACACCTTGCTGAAGCGCCTAGATCCAGGCTCCCTGTTGGGTCTCTGGGGGTGTAGGGAGTGGCTCAGGGGCACAGGTCAGACTTTGTCACTGTGATTGCTGACGGCGCCACTTTACAGTTGGGACTGTAGGTGGAGAGATGGGCTCAGGTGTGGGTGCCAGGGCCCGCTAACCTTGCTTCTCCCGGCACCGCAGGACTCCAAGTTCTACCTGGAGGGTGAAGTCCTGTTCACCAGTGTGGGCAGCATGGTGGAGCACTACCACACGCACGTGCTGCCCAGCCACCAGAGCCTGCTGCTGCGGCACCCATATGGCTACACTGGGCCCAGGTGACACTGTAGGGCATGCTGCCTTGCACAAGTGGCCACAGGATCCCGGCCCAGCCGTGCCGATGGAGGCAGTCTGCGTGGGAGGCTGAACAAGGAGGGAGGCTGTGCTTGACACTGGGCCCCCAACGGACAGACAGCTTGTGGACCCTGGCCAGGGGCCACCCAGCAGGCCGATTCCCAGCCGGACCCAGCTGTAGCTCTGGAGGACTGGTCAGCTCTTGCTCCCAGCTGGATCCGGCTGTGGCACCTTCAGAAGCCTGGGGCTCCAGGACAGAGTCCTGCCTCACTTTCAGGATGGAATGAGTGCCAGGCTGGGCTAGGGCAGTTGGTGGGGCTGGGGCTAGCTCTAGGGCCCCGTGGTGCATGCGACTAGGCTCCCCACAGAACCAGTGCTCCCAATAAATCCAAGACAACTTTTGCCCCGTGGTGGCCTGGCTTGATCGGAAGGAGGGGCTGGCTGTCCTTGGAAGTTGAAGTGGGAGGCAGCTTATAGGGCTCCGAAGGTGGTGTCCCCAGCTGCTGAGTCATGCAGGCTGCACCGCGAGACAGCTCGGCCTGCGTGCAGCAGTCCACTTTTAGCCTGCATAGGGAGCCCTGGGCCCGTGGTGGGGTGCAAGGCTGAAGGCCCCGCATCTACTTTCACACTGCTCGCTGCTTTGCCCAACAGGCATTGAGTGCTTCGGTGCCCAGCCTGGTGCCTGCACGGGTTGTGGGTTTGATCAGGAGCCAGGGCAGGGACAGCCAGGTGTGAAGTGCCCGCAGTGCAAGGTTCAGCGAGCAGGGACTTGAGAGAGACTTCTCAGAGGAAGGAAGGCCCTGCACAGGTCAGGGGTGGGTGAGGCTGCCCAAGTCCTCTGCATGCCGCCTGGCTCAGGCCCGATCCTGCTGTGGAATTCCAGCAGGAAAACAAACGCACCAGGGTCAGGCTGGGCAGGAAACCAGGGTCATCTGCTCTGTGCTTTGTGGTGGGAAAGGAGGAGGTATTATAAGGGAACCCACACTGAGGGCTGCCCTGTGGCCACCCGTCAGTGGCTGGCTGTCCAGGACGAGGGCCTGGGGCCTGTGGTTTACTGAAGGAATAAGGTTAGCAGCCCTGGAGGCCGCGTGTGCACCAGGGAGCGCAGAGCAACAAAACGCCTGGAGGGCGGCAGTAGTCACCTGCTTTCGGGAACCAGCACACCAAGTCCCTGCAGCTGTTCACTCCTCAGCCTACCCTAGAGCAGGGTTGGTGCACCATGGTGGAGCTGTGCACAGGGAGCCTGGATGTTCTGCGCTTTCCCTGAAAGCCAGCGGGTCTCCTGCCTGTGCTCAGGATTCTGTGCCCTGTCCTCGCCTGTTAGGGGCTTGGGGTACCACTGCGCACTGTGGCCACTGTCCCACTCCAGGGGTGCTGACGAGCTGAGCGGTGTGCTCAGCAGGGCGCTTGCCTGTGTAGCTAGCTCAGGGGCTCCTATCCCAGGTGAGGGCCCTGGGCCAGAAAGGCTGTGGATTGCACCAGCCTGTGGATGCTGCCCACGGCCCACCCTAGGACCTGGCTTAAACTTGTCTCACATCCTGGGGCTGTGCCAGCCAACAGTCGGCCACCTTGTGCCAGGGTTTCTCTAGCAAGCGCAGTGAGGGTGTCTGGCCATGGTCCCCTGGCTCCTGACATTGGCTGTGAGAGTTCTTGCAGAGCTCAGCAGGTGAGGGTTCCACAAATGGAGCACTTGTGCTTGTGGGTGCTATGCGCATGTCCCTGCCTCGACACTCACTGTCCTCTGACCCCAGCCCTGCTTGCTTGCAGCCAAGACCCTTGCCCTGGCTGGCTCCTGGGGCCTCCTGAGTCCTCACTGTGACAGCCATTGTGGGGTGTCTGGTTGGCTCTGTGCCCTCTGTGGGCTTCAGAGTCACAGCTCTGGGGAATAAAACCGACCACAGGAGGCCTGGGCCCTGCCCCTGGCTCACACTTCCCTACCATATTGTCAGAGACTGGGGTTCTTGGGGGTCCCGGCTCTGTCCCTGGCATGATGTGTGCAGAGCGAGTTCCATCCAGGGCTTGGGAAGAGAGCCCAGGTACTCTAGGCTGTTTCTTCGAGCGCAAGACAGACCATGATTTTATGTTTGCTGCAGTTGACCTGAAAGTGTCATCTGTGCCTTTTGCTTTTCTGTTTGTTTAGGTTTTATGGAGAAATGTTTTTATTTTATTCCTTTATTATTATAATTTTTTGAGACAGTCTTGCTAATGCTGTCCTTAAATGCAGGGCAATCCTGCCTCAGCCTCTCAAGAGCTGAGATTACAACCATGCCTGGTTTGTGATTATTTTTGTAGTGCCAGGAATGGAACTAGAGCCTTGTCCTTGTTCATGTCAGTCAAATGCTGTGCCACCCCCCAGCTCCAGATAACTTTATTTTTGTATTTTTGTATTTTAGGGAAGGGTCTACAGGGTGTTCAGGGCCTCACTACTAGATAGGACTCAGTGATCTGTCTGTTTACAGCCTCCCAAGAGCTGGGATTACAGGTGTACACCACTACACCCAGTCTCAGTTTGCCATTTCAGTGTGCCCTGGGAGCGGGGCCAGCACGGCAGGCCCGGAGACCAAACCCCCAGATAACTTTAGAACCAGAAAGATGCCTCACAAATTGGAGTTGCTGCAGGTCCTTTTGGACCTCTCAACCCTGGGTCCGGTGATGTGGAGCACTCCCTGCTGGTCGAGGCTTGGCCTCGACGCTGAAGAGGCAGGGCCAGGAGGGCTAAGGGAGAGACCACAGTGAGAGGCCTGCAGTGTCCTGTTCTGCCCACTGCGACCACAGTCACCCCGTTTTATAGGCAGGGAGACTGAGGCCCAGAGGCAGAGGCTCCTGGGAGTGACCAGGACTTGGAAATGACTGGGCAGCCCTGTGGTCACATGAGGGCCCTGTGCTGAGCCTGGCATCTCTGGGGGAGAGGGGCTGCAGCCTGTAGGCCCCATTTGAGGCCACAGGACCCTTGGAGGCTGCCTGACCCCTGCCCTGGCACTGCCCTCAGGACTTAACCCTGCCCCCACCCTGGGCTGTTCTTTCTCCCCTCATTTCCTGTGGAATAAAACACGGAAAAGTAAATAAAACATAAAATGGTGCAGCCTGATGAATCACTATGTACTTCCAAGCACCAGGTGTCCCCATCCCCTCCCGCACTGCCCCCAGGTTTTATTTTTGTTATGTATTTTCTTTTGCAGTACTGGGGATTGAACCCAGGTTCTTTGCTCTGAGCTACATCCTGGCGCTTTTCATTTTGAGACAGGGTCTAAGTTGCTAATTTGCCCAGGCAGGGATCAAACTTGTGACCCTGCCTCAGCTTCCCAGAGTGCCAGGATCACAGACATGCACCACCGCGCCTGGCCTCCTGCCATCTTTGTGCCTTGTGTTCTTGCTTTTCCAAAAAGCCTCCACCACCCAGTTATGCATCCACCCAGCCTTTTCCTGTTTTGTGATTTATAGCAGTGGAATGACACACACGTGCGCTTTGGCATCCAGCCTCTCTGGCTCACTGGCGGGACTCATTTGGTTGGCGTGCACAGTGTGGTGCGTGGAAGCTCACCCTGAGATCTGCCCACTGGCTGACTATGGGTGGACCCCGGGCTGTTTCCACGGGGCTGTTCATCACAGACACCACTGCCGGGGCGCCAGAAATTCTTTCCAGTTCCCAGGAAGACTGCGTTAGTGTCCGTGCCCACGAGAAGTCCTCTGGCTCCAGGCCTGGCCGTGCTGGGCTTTGACAGGCCTTTCATCTTCCCAGCCGGCTGGGGGCGTGTGATTCTGGCCTTGACCTGCACTCAGCTAATGACTAATGAAGCGTGGTTTGTTAGCCATGTCAGTTTCCTCACCTGGGAGGCGCCTCATGCCTCTTCACCTCTTCTGCCCCCTTTGTCACTGGTGCCACAGGCTTTCCTTTATACACTCCTGGTACTATTAGTAAAGCGTGCTGCAAGTATGTGTTACTCTTCCAACCCTGGCTTAGCTCCACCGACTGTAAGGTCTCCTGGTGATCAGTTCCTGTTCCTGCAGCGGGTGAGCTGGTGATTCCGTTTCACTTAGTACTCTTTGTTTCTTGTCTAAGAAATTTTCTGCTGGATAGTATGTGGAACATGCCGATAATCCCAGCAGGCTGAAGGCTGAGGCAGGAGGACTGCAAGTTTGAACTGCCTAAGCAGTTTAACAATTTAGCAAAACTGTGTCTCAAAAATAAAAGGAGGGCTGGAGAGATGGCTCAGTGGTCTAAAGCACCTACTTGGAACAAGCTTGGCAAAGCACAGGGACCGCGGTTCAATCCCCCAGCACCACATGCCAGCCAGCCGCGCCCCCTGGTGGGCTGAGCTGCCCCCCCCCACACTAATGAATAAATAAATAAATGTAAAAAAAAATAAATAAAAGGAGTTGGGGAGATAGTTCAATACAAAAGCTCTAAGTTCAATTCCCAGAACCCAAAACAAACTAAAAAACAAAAACCCTTGTTTATTTTATTTTAATTTTTTTTTACAGAACTGGGGATTGAACTCAGGCCCTTGCACTTGCCAGGGAAGGGCTTATTCCACTGAGCCATCTCCCCGGCCCCAACCACCTCATTTATGCAATAACAAAATGCTTATTTAGTCAAAGCCAGTTGATATGTGCCATGCTTTAAATGGCAAGACTGTCCAAACGGCAGGTCCCCCACTTAAACAGCCCTAATAACAAGGAGAAGACAGCAACGCCAAAAGCTTTGATCAGTTTTCAGAGTTCTAAATGCAATCCATATTGTATAAAAGAGGACACTTGTTGGTCACCTTGGATGGATTAAATTTCCTTGCTGCTCACTCTATAAACTTTCTTTTTCATTTTGTGTATTTAGTTCAGGGTCTCACTACACAGCTTGGACTTGTCGTGGTCCTCCTGTTTTTAGCCTCCCCAGTGCTGGGATTACAGGCGTGTACTACCACACCTGGTCTCTGTAGCAGACTCAGCACGCCCCAAGGTGGGGCCAGCGAGGCATGTGGGATCCAGGATTGAACCCTGGTCCCTGCACTTGCCAAAGCAGGTGCTTAACCCACTGAGCTATCTCTCCGGCCCTCACTCTATAAACTTTTAATCAACATTTAGAGAGAGCTCAGACTCACCTCATAGTCCTCAAATACAAAAATATTTCCAATGCCAGATATAAAGCACATCAAATATACTATAATGACCTAAAATAATAGCTGTTCATTCAACCAACATTATAAACCTATCATTTAAAAGACTTTATAGGACTGGGGATATAGCTCAGCAGCATAAGGGCCTGCCTGGTAAGTGTAAGGTCCTAAGTTCGAACACCAGTACCATAAAAAAAAAGACTTTATAGCAAGCCAACACTTAAATCCTAACTCCTTTAGAACTCTATTTCTTAATTAGAATCTTATAGCAGGAAACAAAATA